CTCACCTCTGCTGTGCGCGTAGAGGAGGCCCAGGGCCACCAGGGCGCCGGTCACCAGGACCAGCAGGAGCAGCAGCCCCCACTCCAGGAAGCCTGGGCGCTTCTGCCGGGACCGGCCCGCCGTCTCCACCGTCCCCGCGGAGCCTTCCAGCTTCCCCATCGTGGAGTCTCTGGACACGAAGGGTGCGCGGCTGAGCTACCCCAGGCCCAGGGCAGGGGTGCGTCCAGCCCGGGCAGGGGAAACGTGCTCTGGAGCCTCCAAGGCCCTGCCCGAGGCTGGACGAGCCTGACGCTGGCCGGGAGCCGGTGCCAGGACCTCTCCGGGCGCTCAGGACCCTCTCCATCGCCAAGTCCACTCCCCGGCTCTTGAAACCTGTGTCTCAGGGCCGGAGTCTCGGAGGGCCCGGGGCCCCGGAGTGTGGGAGGCCCAGCCTGCTGACCCCGGTGACCGTCTCGTCTGGAGGCTGGCCTCTCCAAGCCCAGTGCCGACAGGAGGTGGTCTGGGGGCCGCTGTGCTCACAGCCTGGGGGCCACGTGCCACGTCCAGGAGGCCCGGCTCCGGGGTTGGGGGGCGGCTGCAGAGGAGCCTGCCTGGGGCCCACTCACACCCACTCTCACGCCCACAGGCACATTCAGGCTCACACATGTGAGTGTGCACGTGAGTGTGCACACGTGCTCCGTGTACACGTGTGAGTGTGCATGTAAGCATGTGCATGCATGTGCACGCATGCATACCTGCATGTGTCATGCACCTGCGCGAGCATGCATGCGTGTGAACACATGTGCACATGCACACGTGCCTGTTTGTGCGTCTGCACCTCCTTTGCTGTACTTGGAGCTCTGTGCCCAAAGCTGCACGGGCACCTGGGGAGCGGCTGGCGCTGCCTCACTCAGGGCGAACACATACCTGAAGCCTGCGCTGGTGCCCAGCCTGTGTGGGCCGAGGCCGAAGTCTGGGAGAAGCCTGGGAACACTGACCAGTCCTGCCCTGGGCAGAAGCGTCCGGCCGCTCAGACCACCAGGGCTGGGTTGGATGTTCCTACCTGCCAACGCAGGGGGCCGCCTGAGTTCTGTCCCGGCTCGGGCATCATGTGCCACCTGCCACCTGCCCCAGCTTGAGAGGAGAGGCCAGGCCTGCTCTGATCTCGGGACCCTCCGGAGTCCCCGTCATCTCTCACCTGCCCCCTGCCATCCTCCCTGCCCCAGGTCCCCGCTGGCCGCCCTTGGCCCCTGAGAATCCCTGCTCAAGTCACCCCCAGCAAGGCCTCCCTGGCGTCCCCATTCAGCGCTGCCAGCCCAGCACCCCCTGCACTCCAGACTTATTTCTGTTTTACCATCAGACATACAGCCCTTATTTGTTGTCCATTTCCATCTCCCTGTCGGGAACGGCAGCTCCAAGGGCAGGGGACGTTTTCCCTGGGTCCCCAGCCCCACCCCGCATCAGTTAGCATTCACTGAATGAATGAGTGACTGAATGAATGAATGGTGAACGAATGAATGATCGAACTGGGTGGGACAGCTCCGGGCCCTGGCTCAGCGTCTGTGGCTCTGGCTTCACCAGCGTCACCTTTTGGCACCAGGACGAGTGAGTTCCCCGGCTCATCCAGCTACTCCACTTCCTTTGCCCTGCTCATTCCAGGGACCCAGGCACAAGGAAAGCTGTCCAGTCAAGGGCGGGCCAAAGCCAGGCTTTCTGCTAGAGACCCAGAGGGCTGCCGGGGCCCCGCTGGGCAGCGAGGTCTCACCTGTGGCCTCTCCAGGCTATTGCGGCCACAGGACGGGGGTACCTGGGAGCTACCTGCCCAGGTACAGGCTACGCTCCACATAAAAGGCCCCGCCTGCCCCCTGGGGAATGGGCTGGGTGCTGGAGGGTGTTTTCGGGGCGCTGCCCAGGAATGCTGGCCCGGCTCGCAGCCCCTCCATCAGCCTACCTTCAGGTCACTCAGGAATGGCCGTCGCCCGTGGACAGGTCTGGATGATAGGGTCGCGATGCCTAGGGTTATGGCGAGCAGGGCTGGGCGGAGGGGCTCCGGAGCAGGGCCTGTGGCTTCCGAGCCCCCTTTGTGATGCGGTGGGTTCCCTGGGCGGGGTTCCCGGGAGGCGCTGACCCTTCTGGTCCTAGCGAGTTCTGTCTAGGTTGGGTGCGGGGGAGGGGGCGGTTCCTGGGGCGCCCGGCTCCCTGCTGAGTGCGCCCCTTCTAGAGCCTCCGGCCCTGCCTCTCGGCCCTGCCTCTGGGCTCTCTCCTCCTTTGCTCCTTGATCCCCCCATCCAAAGGGGCTGCAGGGACAGCTGGAAAGGAAGCCAGACCCTTTCCCACGCTGGCCAGAGAGGTCGAGAGGTCAGGACCAGGGCACCGGCTGGCAGTGGGCTCCTTTCCCTTCAGTCTCCAGGGAGGGTCCTGGGGGCCTCGCCAAGTGTAGGGGAGGTGGGGAGGGGCTCGGGCTTGGCAGGGACCCCAGTGCTTCGGAGGGTGACTCAGCCGCCCCAGCCCCGGGGGCTCTGAGCAGGCCCCGGTCAGAACTCAGACCGGCCTTCTTCAGGCCTGACAGGAGAAAAGGGAACAGGGTGCTCCGACTCTGCCCCGGGTCTCTGTCATCGAGCCACCAACTGAGTCCCAACAACTGGAGCCTGAGTCCCCTCCCTTATAAGGTTTGTCAGGGAGTCGGCGGAGAAAACGGAGGCACAGTGCCAGGCACAGAGGTGTGGTCAGGAAACACCTGCCAGGGGGCTTGGGGCGCCGGCGGACAGCCTGCCGGAGAGGCCGGGTCATTTCTGAGCCCTGCAGGTACTGCTTCTAGGATCCCAGTTAAAACTCTGACTCCCGTTCCATAATTAACACCTTCAAACTAATTACCAATTTTTTTGGGGGGGGGAGAGAAACATCGATTTGTTGTTTCAATTATTTGTGCATCCCTTGGTGATTTTTGTATGTGCCCTGACTGGAGATTGAACCTGTAGCCTTGGGGTGTCAGAGCGACACTCTAGCCAACTGAGCTACCCAGCCAGGGACCCTGAAACTAGGAAGGGGATGTCTGGTCCGGCTCAGATGAAACTCAGGACCTTGAGCCCCCCAAGTCCACTGAGCCCCTCTTTCCAGCGGGAGTGGCTTGTCCTCCAGCGTCGGATGAGACCAGCCTTTTCTTGTCACAAACCCTGTGAGAACCTTGCAGGGGTCTGGGGCCTAGCGAGAGGGTGCTCCCCCTCCCCACCCGCTGTTTGTAGGGTCAGATCTCAGCATGTGCGGGGGGGGGGGG